ATATATAACACTAGTGCATCCCTATATATATATATGTATGTATATATATATATAACACTAGTGCATCCCACATACTTGTATCGTCCTGCTTGTCCCTGTGGTGCATGTTGCTGCTGCTCTTGGCGCCTAAAGCACTGCGTGCGAGGCCGTTGAGCACCTCTGTCTCCATATCACTTGGCGACAGACGCCCTTTGCCTCGGCCCAATCCCTGGGCCATTCTGGGTGCAGGCTGCCCATACTCATACTCGTACTCGTGCTCTGCTACACGCATGCAACAACAGGTGATGTTTTTGTTAATTATAAAAAATGAAACTATAAATATAAAAATAATATAAAAATATTCAAATAATGTTAATGACGATAGAAAAATATTATTCAAAATATAACATACCAAACCGAATTGGCTTTTATTCTTTTAATAATGATCCAACCCGATGTAGTATTTGGCATGTGTGTGGCCCAGCACTGAGTCGATTTACATATATGATATTTGTCAAGGTAGATGTACTTTAGGATTTTAGGGTCTGCTAAAACTCTAAAACCTAAACCCTAAAATCCGTCCATGGTCTAAACCCCGATTGTGGTAGATAATTTTTGGCACATAATTTCTGAAACTACTTACACTCCGCAAACATAGTTGGAAACATATTATAAACCCTGATGCATATGGGTGTCATGTGCTTGTGAGTGAAAGCAACAGATGTATTGATAGTGGTATGCTGATAGTGGTGTAGCTAAGGGCACAATCTGATTGGGTCATTTTACGACACAGAATCAGCGGCAAGTCGTATACTTATACATGGTAGGTACACATTCACCCGCGAGCTACCAGCACACACACACACACGCGCGCGCGATAGTTACATACATATATACATGTACACCAAAACACACAACGGTATGAACTGATATGCTAGTTCGCATGTACCCGCACAACAAACACATACACTCACATACACTCGCATACACTCACATACACGGACATACACTCACATCCACTTACATACACATACATACACTCACATACACGCACATACACTCTTACACTTACATACATTCACATACACTCACATACACTCACATACACTGACATACCCGTATCGTCTGCCACAGATCCTCTGGGTGACGATTTCTGGGCACGCGATTGCACGGGGGAGCCTTTCGGCGTGTTTTTGGGGGTCAAAGTTTGGCCATCTTCGCCCAGTTGGATAGCATTGAGTCCTTTTCTCAGGGTTAAAGTTGAACTCAAGTGCAGCAAATCGAGTTCATCGACAGTCTGGTTGAGCTCATTGAGGGCGGCGTGGGCCTTGTCCAGTTGGTCTGAGGGTGTGATATAAATAGAACTGCCATATTAGGTTGTATCTATAAATAGATGCTACCATCTAGCGTGGCAGTATGTTGTACTGGCATGCAGCGGACTATCAACTTTGTCGTTGAAGCCAATTGGTGCGGCGTGGGCTCTGACAAGTGCACTCGATGATGTTGTCGTTTGGTCTAAATCGATTCTACTATCGTAGGTATGTCAGTAAACACATGTTTTAGGGTTTTAAGGTTTTAGGTGTGACAATAAACAAATGCAGCAAAACGGGAAACGCAATGGCATGTTGAGACCAACACTTCACCTCTAACGCTCCTTAGGTAGTAACAGGGCTTAGGTTAAATGAAGTAGTAAAAACTGCGGTTCAACGGTTTAATGGTTTTAATTGATATTCTAGTGGTTCTGTGCACGAGTATAAATCTTTTCTCCGGATTTTTAATGATATATTGCGATGTTGTGCTTTTGGTAGCATGTATGCAGTATGTAGTATACACACGCAGGTGACACATGCTTCCACTGGGAGATATTTAGGCATATATATATATATATATA